ATATATATATATATATATATATATATTTAATTTATTAATTACCAAAAAGTACAAAAATTTTATGAATTTCTGTGCTTATTATCGCATCACTTTAATTCGCTTAGCAGCATGTTAATGCCAAATTCAAAGTCAATTATAATTGGATCTCTCCTGAGCTTTGCGTGAGGAGATCTGTTTGAATGGTGAGCGAAGCTGCTGCCCATGTAGAGCGTTCCATTTCAGTTAGCATGCTGTCATTAAAGGCAGCTGTCTATGTAGGCAGCAGACAGCAGAACAGGTCACTACAGTGTGGAACAGATCAATAGTTTTTAACAGATGAGTGTACCATTGCTTTGGTCTTACATACTGGCATTTCGAGCACCTTGTCAACAGTGGTATCAGACTGAGTCACTGATTACACACGGTTGCGAGTTCAGGAAACAAACTTCACGCAGCATACCAGCAGGAAGTTACAGAAAATGACTGCTCTCCTGGTGCCATTTAGCTTATCAGCAATCAAAAGAGGACCTTTTATTTAAGGTTTTTAATTTGTTACAATTGTTGGTGTACAGATGAATGTATCCATGTGCTATACATCTGTGCGAGAGCTTCTCATTTCAAAACACGCAGAAGTGCAGATACGATCTGTCAATCTCTTTTGATTGGGAGCACAGAAGGTAGCATCTAAAGAATCTACAGACTTCTACAGACAATTAACTGTTTCTGTGATAAATGTAAGCCATTTAATTGCAGCGATTCGGAGCCTGATGATTGGCTTGTTGATGGCTTTTTTAAGCTTTTAAGGTGAAGAAGATTGGAGCTCAGACTGAGACCAGAATAATCTGGTTTTGTGAGGTAGTGTGAGGGGCGTGTGTGAATTTCACAGCTAAATGCTGGATTGAGTTGATTTATTTCTGCAGTTTGTAAGTGACTCAAAACAACCTACGTACATTCACAGCAAAGACAAAAGGTCAGGCATCCAGGCAGTTATATGCGAAATGTGCAAACGGCACAGTGCTCTGAATGCATAGTGATAACTTAAAATTCACTTATAAATCGACAAAACCTCACGTGTACTTCACAGTATTCATTCATAATCACAGATGAAAAACTCTGAAAATGTTGTAATGAATGGTGTATGATTTCATAAAACAAATGCGAGTACATCTCCACTTAAAGCCAGGTCAGTATAGACACATCCTACATACAGATCTGACACTTTCCATGAATACAGTAACCTTCCTGTGTGAATAGAGTATTTTGCAGTGAGAACTATTAGATGCATTATCTAACATAAAACTAACCCATCATGAATGAGCACATTTAATATTTATATCCCCTCTTAAATGGTGATTATGGCCTGTCCCACTTCAGAGGTCTTGATCTCATTGACTGTAT